AATAAATGAATTATTTCAGTGTTATAAAGTGTTATGTGTATGTAAACAAAAGTGACCTCTTTTATCACACACTATATTAGAACTGACTGGCCTACATTAAAAAGGGTTTTAAAAAATTCACATTTTTTTTTAATTTTTAAAAATTACAAAAGAGAAAAAGAGTTTTTAAAACCGTCTAAGGTATGTTAAATAGATGAATAAAAATATTAATATAAAACTTACAGCTACTTGTTCCAAATCCAAATCAGATTCAGAAGATGAACTTTCAGAGCCAAGATTTATAATAACTGGCTCGATCATTTTATCAGTAATATTGTCCAGCTTCCACATTTTTTCCTCTTCTTTAATAGTGTGATTTACTACCTTTTCCCAGTTTTCAGGTTTTACATTATTTACGGCCTCCAAAAACAACTGTTTAACATCATGAATTTTAAAAGTGGTATTTTTTCTTGAAACTTCACTCTTTATCTGTGCCCATACCAGTTCAATCGGGTTTAATTCACAATGATATGGTGGGGATCTAAGTACTGTCATTCCACGATTTTTGGCAATTTCATCAATTTTGTATTTTTTAAATTTTTCTTTATGAAAGGCAAACAACGAATAAAGTTCCTTTCTTATAGATCCGGGATGGTACGTAATATTTTTTGAACTCAGCCAATTCTGCAAGTCTTTTTTTAACCACTTGGTTGTGGGCAGTCCTTCCATAAGTCTGGAGTAATAACTTGCATTATCCATTACTATTACACAGTTCTTAGGAAGAAGATCTATCATTTGTTCGAACCATTCTTGAAAGACATCAGCGTTCATGTCTTCATGGTAGTCACCGATACGAGTTGATTCAAAAGTTAATAAACCACCTTCAACAAAACCGTCTGAACTGCCAATGTGTACTATTATCAGCCTGTGTGCCTTTCCTGATGGTGGGTTTAAACCAGTAGATAAGTTATTTACAAAAGCGTGCCTTTGACTTGTAACAGTTTCATCCTGCCAAAATTTATTTGGTGTATGACCCTCGTTGATCCATGTTTCATCAAGCTAAAATATTTTTCTTTTTTGGTTTCTCATTTCCTTTATGGTTCTTAGAAAATGTCTTCTCCATATGACAATATCGCTTCTTTCTAATAAAATAGACTTTCTGGGATTCTTTTTCCAGCGGAAGCCTATTTCTTTTAAAAGTTTCCATAACCTACTTCGACTCATTTCTGGGTAATCCTTATCATCTCGAACTGAGACAAGAACTTTATCCAATGTTGGAAATTCTTATCTAAAGAAGAATTCATGCACTGTCCGTCGAAGTCCTTCTTTAAAATGATATTCTATTTGAAATTTTGGTTTCCCTGGAGCATTACGTGGCATTTGAAAACTACCACATTTCTCTTCTTTAATAACTCTGTAAATCGTAGATTTCCCAACACCAAGTGTACTGCTAACTAACTCAACGGTCTCATCAACACTTTCACATAAACGTTTGTCTGTAAATGATTTAAAACAATTAAATATTAATGTTTTTTCATTAACTGTTAAAGGACCAATTTTTCGGCGTTTACACGGCACTTCCAAATTTTCCATAACACTAGTATACACAATAAACTGCACTTTGCAACTGAAGTACCTACTTTTAGTGAACTGTTAAGAATTTTGAATACGCCACTTGGACCTTCCTACAAAATGGAAAAACCCACTATCACATTTTCTGTGGAATAAGTTTAGAAGGTAATTATCTAGTCAATTACTGTCGTAGATTCCTGGAATTAAAGAATTAAATGTTTAATTGTTGAAACCCTTACTTCGTGGAATGCACTCATTTCAGATAAAATAAAACGTTTTATTTTATCTAAAGAATTAAACTTTATTTTGCAAATAGGTAGGTACTTATTAAACTTTTATTGGTTATACATAACCAATAAAATAAACATCTTACATTTCTTGCAAATTCATTAGTACCTCCATCACTCCGACACTGGCAACCTTATTTAGGGATTAGTAACCCTCACAACTATTGTATTCTATTCTGCTCCAACCTTTATACCTGGTGGTCATACTCAATTTAAAATTGTTTTCCTATATACTTCTGTAAACTTGTTGACAAATATCTGTTTTTCATTGAGTCACCCGTATCAACAGTTTAGGGATTGCATACATAATTTATTGTTTTATTACTCTCTGATACATAAAAATACACTATAATTTTGGAGGAATCAAAAGACTCACTAAATTGAGTAATTCTTGCGGGAGACCTTTAATCGGTATTGGATGTGCTCAAATATTCAACAATAATTGTATTCAACGTGCCACTGATGTTTTACCAACTGATCGAAGTAATAACAGTGAAAATTTATAAGCATTTCTATATTTACACTGTTACAGTTGATATACTAAAGCCATTTTGTGAATAGGTTAATTATGAATACAAAAAAATGTTATCATTTTCAAAAACACGATTTCTAAACATGATGCCTGCAATTAAAAGGATTTTACAAATGTTTAAAAGATTTTTGCACACAATTTTGAGACAAATTTGCAATGCTCCTATTGCAGAGATGTGGATGTAGCTGAATGCCGGATGTGAATGTAAATAACCTGATCATCAATAATACAACGATAGAAAGAGTAAAAACATATAAATATTTAGGAACGTGGCTAACCGAAGATGGAGATCAAGTAAAGGAGATCAGATCTAGAATAGAAATGGCAAGAAACACGTTCATAAAATTGAAGAAATTACTTTGCAACCGTAACCTTAATTTAGAGATTCGCACAAGAATGCTACGTTGTTACGTCTTCTCTACTTTACTATATGGCATGGAAGCGTGGACAATAAAGCAGTCTGAAATCAAAAAATTAAACTCCTTTGAGATGTGGTGCTACAGGAGAATGCATAAAATATCGTGGATTGAAAAAGTAACTAATATAGAGGTGTTACAAAGAATGAAGAAAGAATGTGAAGTCATAAAAACTGTTAAAATTAGAAAGATTCAATATCTGGGACATTTAATGAGGGGTGAGAAGTACGTATTACTGAGGTTGATTATGCAAGGGAAGATACAAGGGAAGAGAAACCCAGGACGACGCAAAGTGTCCTGGCTAAGAAATTTGAGAGAGTGGTTCGGCTGCAGCTCATTAGAATTATTCAGAAATGCGGCCAACAAAGTTAAAATAGCGATGATGATTTCCAACCTCCGCTAGGAGAAGGAACCCGAAGAAGAAGAAGGATGTAGCTCGTTCATAATATGGCGTCGCAGTTTCATAAAGCTATTCAGTAGAAGGTAATAAAACAAATGCCTTTTATGCCTTTTAAAGTGAGGGAATGTCTTAGTAAACTTGAAGACAAGCAAGCCACTACTGAAAACTTCACTGCACAAGTGAAACATTTTTACCCAAAATGTGTAACCTACCTAGAAAATTGGAATACAAATCTACGTGAATTTAAACTATTCAAATGGATAGATCTAAGAGGTGAAGTAACATGGAAAGATGTTTGTTATTCTTTCAAAGCTATTAAATTGTATATCAAGGCACCTATTTTAAATGAAGATCAACTCTTTGACGAACTGGGAATTTTGAAAGACGTGGCTACAAGTGAAAAATTGCTGAGTGGAACAGAGAAGAAAAAAATAATGAGAATCGATGGCTTGAAGTTTTTAGTGTTAGATCAATTCAAACTGAAAAACTTACAAATATTATGCGAATTTATTTTTTGTCTTCCGGGTACTATAGCAGCTATCGAGCATTCATTTTCTATAATAAATAATTATTGGACGTCGGAAAAGTCACAAATGTACATTTCCACTCACAATTCAGCGAAGTCTCTTATCAAAAACTCTTAATTACAGGATTTTTACTTTTTCAAAGTTAATATAATGTTTAGTTTATTGATACAATTTTTTTGTTTAGCAACATATTGTTGTAATGTTTAGCATAGTTTATTCTTTATTTTCACTTCCAAAAAGTTATGATTGTCTAAGAAAAAGATTCATTTTGTGTTTTTACTACATTTTTGTATTTTTGCACTTTTTTTTCAAAAAATATATATGGTCACCGTCACTATAAAAGCAATTTAAAAGGGCAGTAAAATTACTTAATTTATTAATACTTATAATAATGTTATCAATAAAAGACCTATTTCAAAGAAAAATTAGTGTTAAAAAATATTACTGAAAGAAATTACATAGAGGATAAATACCATAATCTAATTGTGGAGTAAGTAAGGCTGCAGAGTAAGTATTTTAAACAGAAAGTGGAAGGAAAAAATTAAAACTTTCTTGGCTCCCAGACGAGATAGAGGAACTAATAAGAAAATAATTTTTACAATAGGTGGCTAACAACAGGAAGCCCTTGTCTATGGAACATAATAATACAGCTAATGCAAAACTGCTGCCAACAAATACAGATTTAATCTAAGTGAAAATTCCATGGAACATCGGCCATAAAATTGAAGAAGATTAAAGGTCGATTCAGACACATCAGTCACGTCTCGTCACAGTGATTGCGCCGAACCGAACAATCCGTCATACAAAATATTCTACAAATATGTTGCGTCTATAAATATGTTGCCGGCATTCACACTCATCAGTTGACAAACAGTTTCCTAGCTGTCAGATAGTTGATAGTTCTGTGACCAAATAGGACCGGTTCGGCGCCGAGACTATGACGGGACTGATGTGTCTGAATCGACCTTAAAGCGGTTTTAGACCCCTACAAATTATGATCCATCCCTCAAGTACAGTACATTTAACTCATCTTACACCTCTAAAAGATTAATGGAATTCCAGAGTTTCCAGAGAAGAGAAAAAACACAGAAAATTATTTAGAAAGAAAAATCAAGAAAATCACCCATATGACAGTTTGTGCAAATATATAAAATGCGCACGCACTCATAGATCTATCAAAAATTAGTTAAAAATATTTATTATCGAATGCAAAAAAATGTTATCATTTAAAAAATGAATCAATTCCAAAAAACTTTTTATGTTTCACTAATGTATACCGTTTTTTAGGACAATCCAGAATGCACAAAAGAAATGGAGGAAGATTTAAAATCTTTATTTAAAGAATTGGCAACTTTACTAGATTTTAAAAGTATTTTGCAAGATATCGAAGAATTAAAAGAAATTTCTGATAATGTCAGGTTAGCAACAGATTTTTACTATGACACATCTAAAACTGTAACTTTGTGACAGGTAGCTCTACTAGACATCAGACTCCGAGAAAACCCAAGTTTAATTTGCATAAAAATATATTCAAGTCGTGAAGTAAACCAAATCCCGTGAAGTAAACAGAAATAAATGTTAGCGGTGTTCGTTTGAGTAGAATGAAGAAGGTTTTTAGTCAATACCCAAATATTGAGGAGTGGTCGATCAGTCAAGGTGAAGGGCGGTACGGAAAGGTGGCGGAAGCCATCTATCAACACTCGAACGGAGGAACGGGAAGAACACGGTGGACTCTGATAACTACCCTAAGACCGTTCTTGCCAGATAATGCCGAAAATGCCTAGAAAACACTTCCAAAACCCACAAATCTGGAATATAAAATCATACAGCGGATTTCTTAATCCTCCTTTTACAAACCAAGATTTTGAATTGCCTTAGAATCTAGTAAATATTCTGCAACAGACTTTAATGATCTACCTTTTATTTTTCTTCCACGGCGACACATTTTTAGAATAATACAACAAAATCTGGACACACCTCAAAAATCCTGTGACCCCAATAAGTAATACTATCTTCCAAAAAAAAGTGACACCAATTCTCGTGTCCAAGCCAAAATAGGCATTCTACTGAACCCAAAGCATTCCGTCCCATCTATTTAACGCAAACTCTTCGAAAAAATTAAAAATTATCGATTATTATGCTGAATCAAAAATAACAAAATTCTCATCCCTAAGCCAATCAGAATTCAGATGCAGTAGAAGTATCTTAGACAACATAACTCTTTTTCAAACTTAACTTGCTACTGCATTCTCTGACAAATAGGAAGTAATGCAAATATCTTCGACACATCTTGAAGATCACCGATTTTTAAGAAGCTAAAATAAATCGGACTTTCAGGAAACGTCCTAAACTTCTTAGAAAACTTCCTCAATAACAGTTCCCAATTTCAAGATATCTTCCATTTTCTTTTCTTGATTAGGGTAAAGTGGGGTAAGATGACGAATCGGGTAAGATGACGAATTCCGGATATTTTTCCAACGTACAACTCTGGCAACACTGTCTTCAGTCAGGACCGAACAAATATTCTAAGGTTTCTCGCCTTTGACTACAAATACGTTAGCGGCCAGAGTTTAGTATGATACAAGTGTTGGTACTGATATTGTGTTAGTGCTAACAATATTATTGTTTTCGAAAATAAGGTTTTAAAGGTTTTTGGTAAGTATTGGATAACTGTTGTATTTTTTGTTCGAAACTAATATCTTTTACGTATAAATTACTTACAGAAAATATTTGTTATAAATAATAAATTTGACTTTACGATTTTTAGAAAGAAAGATGACACTTGTGGGTAAGATGACGAGATATTCGTCATCTTACCCATATTAACTAAAATTAACAGTAAGTCATACCTACTTTCAATTTCAGATTTAAATATGGGCAAAATATATAAAAGAAAGACAGACAGACAATCGTGGTCGAAAGAAAAATAAAAAGAGTAATGGCTTAAATAACTGCTCATCAGGTAAGTGCCAATGCAGCCTCAAAAGCATATATTCCAGAACCTACTAGATCTGATAGATATAGATAAACGGCCATTTGGATTAACCACGGATCAGTTTAGAAAAATTGCTTTCGACTTTTCCGTTCATTGTGGTGTTGCTGATAGATACTACAAAGAAAATGGTTGGTAAAGACTTTGCACAATCCTTTTGCAGCATACTCACGAGCTTGCGAAGATTTTTTGATCAGTAATCCGGGTCGTCTTATAACATTGTTTGACATTGCAACCCTATTTGGGAAAGCGTACTTAAAAGCAGCAACTGTTTCAAATACTCTTAGTGGTTTTAGAGCCACTGGCATATATCCTGTTGATAGCCAGGTGTTTGATATACTTGATTTTGAGGCATCTTTGGCAATAGTTTGGCAACTACCTCTGCTTTGGAAAATGTAAAGGTCGAAGAGGAAATGCCAGATATTTAAGGAATGTCACCGATATATGTTTTAAAATAAACATTACCTCAAGAATCTGTTGAAATATCTGACGAAATTTTAGATATTTCTATTCCAAATATGCCTGTTCCATCTACATCAGGAATAGCTGGTCGGACACCCCTTCATGTATCAAATCATATATTGAATAATGGTCTTCCTAAATTACAGAAAGAAATTACCATCTCTCGTTATTTCCAGTACACCAATAGTAAAGATTTTAGAAGAAAAGGAAGCTTCAAATTAGCATAAGAGAGGAAAGGGCTATAACAGAACAGAAGAAAATTGGAAAAGAAATAGAAGCAAAGACTTTAATTTTCAGCAAAAAATAGGAAATTCACTCTCGATAAAGGCAATGGAAAAAGACTAAGAGAAAAATAAAATTTGACGACTCGTCTAACTCGTCAGTAGATATGGAATATGCTGACACTGATAACGATTCAGAGGAAGAAAGAGATTGCATAATCTGCAATGAAAGAGGAAAAGATGAGCTATGGTATTGCTAAAGCAGGTATAGGGAATGGGCTCACGATGAATGCGCTGGAATGGATAGTCAAGAAGCAAGAAGGTAAAGCAATGGACGTGTGATTGGTACTTTTAAAAATATAGGACCTACTACAAGTGCTGCATTAGTTACAAAATAAATGCATTTTACTTTAATTTGTTTACTTTCCTGCCTATATATATATATATATATATATATATATATATATATATATATATATATATAATATATATATATATATATATATATATATAATATATATATATATATATATATATATATATATAACTGACTTTTTTTTCTTAGAATAGGCATACCTCGTCATCTTACCCTTCACAATTAGTCATCTTACCCTCCACGAAGGGTAAGATGACGAATATGACATAGGTAGATACATTTTAAAATTTTAATTTGAAATATTAACCCTTACGTAATCCATTTTTAATATGTAAAGTACTACTATCAGCCAATTACCTTGTAGTTGCATGCATTCGATACGAGGAAAAATATCAGTTCTAGGATTTTTTTAAGCTTACTATCGTCATCTTGCCCTCCTTTCCCCTACGTTACTTCTTTTCGATTTTTTATGTATCTGTCTAAGAAAATAATATATACCTAAATGTATTATGTAATTTGCTTTTAATAAGTAAATTGTAATTTAGTTAATAAAAGTGTTATTACTTTGATAGTTTTAGCTTTAAAAGGACCTTTTTAAAAGTCCTTTGGGGAGTGACAAGCCTTAAGGAACGTTTCAAAACGTGTAGTTCGAAATGTTTAATGTAGTTCCAATTTTATAAATGTAATGAATTACCATGCTATGTTAATTACAAATTATTATATATTTTTAAATATGTTCATCTCTAAAATTTTTTAATTTCTTTTAGTATAACAGCAGCAGAAGAAGTTAAATTCGTTAATGACCTATTACTCAAAGAAAAACAGGCTAAAGTCTTTAAAACGCTTGCAAAAACATATGAAAGCTATGAAGAAGATTATAAATATATCATGGAAGAATTGAAATCCGAAAACTGTACAGATGTAGAGCAGTGTATTACACAAGCCGAAGAGGACATTACAAAGTATACAGGCAGAAGCAAATGTATCTCTAATTTTTTAAATAATTGTTATGTGAAGAAACCTTCCGACAGAAATGTACTACATAAATGTGTGAAGAAACAAGGAGAGTGTAGGTTTTCGCCCATATAATTGTTTTTTGATGTTATAATGTTTTATCAATTTACTAGATTAGTAATATTTCTTCATAATACTAGTTTTGTGTGCTGACAACCTAAACAAATAACTTCAAAATTTGCAAACCCAAGTGATGGAAATTAACTTGTATATTTTTTCGAAATAAATCACAATTGTTATTAAAAATCGTTTATTTTTAATTAAAATTATAGTTCATTCAGACCCGCCCCAAGAAAGTTGGTGAGGAATAAGGTAAAGGAGGGAAAAACGTGTATTCTGCCTTGACAATGAGGCGGTTAGTAAAAAACTAAGAAAATAGCCCTCTTCTAACAAAACTAATCCCATAATCATAATGTGAGTTCCCATCGTTATAAAACCAACTCACCTTATTCTGATTTCTGAGGAAGGTTTTCAATATTAATTATATATTCAAAAGTTATTTAAACAAAGAAATTTATAATTATTATTATTTTTTAACAAATACACCTCGCCGCAAGTTAGGCAACTTTTATTATTGTTCCTCGCAATTGTAGTTGTGTGCATGATACTATGATAAGAAGATAAGATATTGCGCATGTTTTTGTGACGTCATTGGAGAGTTGCACGTTAAAAATGTCAGTTTTTTGTATGTGTCAATAAATAATCTTTAATAAATAGTTTTTAGATATCCTTATGTGTACAATTATTGTAATTATTGAACTTCTTAACTTATTTTCGTCTAGTAATTTCGAACAACAAAGTTGTTCGACGACAAAAGATCATCTAAAAAATTTATTTTACTTCATTTGACGACATGCAAAATGATGATCATGTTATTTCTCTATGATGATGATGTATGATGTTGACATTTGACAGCAAATTTCAAAAATGTTAATTACAATGTCAACAAGAACAAACTAATAATAATAATTCGCTAGACTATAATTGCGTATTTACTATTTAAGTGAAAAAAGTTAAAACAGTTAAAAACAAAGTAATTAAAAAATATTCAATAAAACCATTATCCATTATTGAATGATTTGAGGTTAACTTGTTGAAATTATTTAATTTTATAAATCCATGATTGATACTCAAACAACAAAGAAATGGTTATGCACAGAGCTTTATTCACCTGGTTTATTCTATTAGTATTCTTTATACTTCTGTGTCTACGTTTAGAATCTCGTACACACTGGAATTGGTTCCTTATATTCCTTCCTTTATGGGTGTATGACCTTATCCTTTTTATTGATGCCCTGTTTAATATCTTCATTAGATGCAAACAAGACACAATAAGAAACTTATTTAAAAACAAAAATATTCTTCTGCTGCTTGTAGTTATGTTGAAGGTTGCCACTCAGGTTTTACTGTGTTTGAAACTGGAATATGTATCTTTAAATCTCCAAGTATACCATGTGCTGTTACCACTTTGGATCCTACTACCTTTGCTGATTGTGGATATATCAATTACCTTGTTTAAGAGTACATATTACTAAATGGGTGAGTAAAACTCCATTTTATTTTTTAGTGTATTTTCATGAAAAGTAATCCTTAGAATAATAAACACCTGATAACATTTTGTAAGCACAAGATTTTGCTGATAATTGGACTTGAACAGATGACACCTAGAAGGAGGAAGAATGAAGTTTAAGATAGTTTGCTGAATTCTTGATTGTAGTAGGTGGCTTTAAGTCAAGTCACTTTAACAGAATTAAATGCACAAAACGTTTGATGGTGTTTTACTACTGACTATATTCTCTATGCTTTATCACTGACCTCATTGGTGGTGTGTGTACTAAGACAGAAAACTACTTTCAGTAATAACTTAACGGAATGAATATGAGAGTATGTACTATAGATCTATAAGATAAGTACATTGCTTAAGTAGGTTTTTCTAATAACGGTTTTGTAAAAAATACAATCCTAAGAAACATATGTCATTTTACTTACAACCTCGCCAAGTTTTCACTCCAGACATATGATTAGAACTGTTTTCTTGAATAATTTTGTGTACTTATGAATTGGGTTTAGGATAGCAACTTTTATACCAGAATATCTGTCAAATAAAAGTCTACAATTATTTGGTAGAGCTTTTTCTAGGTCTTTCTCTAACATTTTCACTAATAAGGTTTTCACCAATTAAATTTTTTTGTCTTTCAATCCAATACTTCTATTCGAACCACAATCTACTTTTATGCTATACATTATAAACATGACCTAGAGCTTTTTAAGAAAAAGCTGATAAAAAATTCTAAATATACTGGTACTGATGAATTGCATTGATGTTTCATTACAATAAAATAGATTATCATATTTAAGAAATCTTTAGAGTTTCAATTATTAATCAATTACTGAGTTTTTAGATTAAACTGAAAGAAGTGGAGGAAATATTTGCGACTAATGAAAGAAGAAAAGATGTCTGAATGATATATTTTGTGAAAGTTGTCTCTGGATTATCAAACCATGGATTTTGCTGCCTTACGAAAGAAAATAAATTACTAAGCAGAGAAATGTTGGGACCACTTATGGTCTCTTATCAATAATGTGTAATGGAACCTAAATCAATAATGATGATGTTATGTTTTTTGTTTTGTTCTTTTTATTTAAATATATATACAAACAATTCATAACATAAAAATGTAAAATTATTAAATATATATTTTTATATTTGGTTTCCTTTTTTCAATTATACCATAACTGAAAATATCGGCACTACAATATATTCACAACTAAGAAAAAGCATGCTAAATGTATGACCACCACATTTTATTTAACACATTTAATTAATGTGTTAATATTGTTTAGCAGAATACACAGGTAGGAAACATGGTATTAAGAAGAATTTCACTTTGGCAGGAATTTTGTGTCAATTATTTTTTGTCACGCTTCCAATATTTATTGTTTAACCCTTAAACTACTATGTAGGGTTCTTTTGGGGACCTCAGGACCATATTGTTCAACCTCCAGTTGAATAATGACCAATTGTATGCCTGAAATCTCATATAGCTGAGTTTTTAAGGTTTTTACACAACTTCTAATACCTTCCAGCAAGTTTCAATAATTAAAAACCAATGAAAACTGAATTTTGATCAGTGGATCTCTACTGACCAAAATGGCTCTAATTAAACTAGTTACTGAAGAAGAGATTGTCGCCTTGTTTTAAAGTGAGTGTCACCAACTGCTTTAGTGAGTGCTGAGGAGATACAAACAGGGGTAAATATATCTAAATGGTTGATGCTGTGATCAAAGAGATAGCGATCATGAAATTTTTAGTGATCATGATTCGGTCAGTGATATCGACTGAGACCCATCAGATAAAGAGCAGTTTAAAACTTTATATAATGAAGAGTTCAATCAATCTGGAAATAAAAATACAAGGGATGAAGAAAAAGAAGGAAATTACTAATATGGAAAAGACAAAACAAAATGATCAAATGCTTCTACAGGAAAAACTAGGGATGGAGGTGTGTTGATTGCTGTTAAAAATGACATAAGTGCGCAGAAAGTGATAATCCCCGATTGTGAAGTAGAACAAATTTTTGTATCACTGAAAGTTAATAATAAGTGCATAGTTTTGGGTGGAGTTTATATCCCTCCTGCATCAGAACTCAATGTATACATGTTGCACTGCAGTTCAGTTGAATATGTGATGGAGAAGTGTGAAAACTTGTTACTGTGTGGTGATTATAATTTACCAAATGCTTCCTGGAGTAATGACAACTTTGGATTAAATGTTGAATGCCCTGAAGACTATCCTGCTGTGTATTTGGCAAATTCTTTTGGATATTTTAATATGTTTCTTATAAACAATTTACCTAACAGTCGTAATGTCTTTCTAGATTTAGTATTTACTAATTTAAATAATGTTGATGTAGTTATTCCACTTGATTCACTATTTGATAATAGTATCCACCATTCACCTATAATTGTAGAATTAACTGGTTTTGAAAAGCATGATCAACTGAACTACGAGGAATTTTATTATGATTTTAAAAATGCAAATTACATCGGACTAAATGATTACTTTGCAAGTTTAAATTGGGACTTACTTTTATCAGATGATGTGAATTATAGCTTAGCAGTATTTTATGATTTTATGTTTACAGGTTTTGACTTATTTGTTCCGATAAAAAATTTGAAAACAAGTTCGTTTCCGATTTGGTTTAATGGTAAATTAAGGAAGTTGATATATTTAAAAAATAAATTACATAAGCAGTATAAATTGTTTGGTAGAAGGGATGATTATTTAAGATTTTCTCAGTTAAGAAATGAAATTAAACAAGTCTCCTCTCAATGTTATAGTAACTATTTGAATAATATTGAGAATGGGATTCTATCTAATCCTCGACATTTTTGGAAGTATATCAATAATAAACGTAAAAGTTATAATCTGCCATCTAATATGTTCTACGGTGATAGTACAAGTGATAATGCTCAAGATCAATGCACAAGTCAATCTATTTGGTAAGTTTTTCTCAACTACATATTCTAATTCTAAAATTAATCAGATCCCAATTTTTAACTATCAGCAGAGTGTAAATGTGAATAATTATAGTTGTTATCAACAGGTCCTCGTAGACACTTCGTCTCAGGACCATTTTACTTATGTAGAATCATACGCCGCCATGTTACCTATCCAACGGTAACTTAAACATCACAAATTATAACTATTAATAATGTAAAACAACTACAAATTTAAAACATTTAAAGGGTTTTGACCCATATATTTTGGTGGCTACTAGCATGTCCAACCGTTTGCACTGATGATGGATTTATCAATCCGAAAACGTTTTGCAATGTGTTTGTGATAGCCCGTTTGGGGCATTTTTTATATACCTTTTATAAAGGATTTTAAACAATTTTTGTGATATATGGTATACAGCCAGCTACAGGAACTTAGTTTCCTAGTGGAAATTTTGATTAACTTTGTTCAGGTTACAGACAAATTGTGTGACGGCAAAGTCTTAGCTTTTCTTATATTGGGGAGAGTGACCTCTTCGGTTACTTCTGCCCGGGGCCCTCTGAATTGTAGCTATGCTACTGCTCATTGCAGAACAAACATTAAGATTTTTTCAGCTAAATTCGTTAAATGATCATTCTGGAAAAAAATAAGACTGTTTTACTAGATCTCTTTATTTGACAGTTGTAAACAGAGCATCCAATCACTAAATTATAGAACCATATCACAATATATGACTAGATGGTAACCATTACCAATGTCAAATAGTACATTATTACAGTTCAACAGGAAGTCAGTACAAAAAATATTCACACATAAGTACTTCAAAAATAAGTACCTGAAAAATTAGTCATTTTTAAATTATCTACTATAAATACCTTTATATAAAAATACAAATATCTTGACAAAACTCTGTCTAGTAAGTAGACCTACATATGCAGCACCATATAGAGAGCGTTCCTAGCTTGTGTTCCTTCAGGTACAATATTTTGTCAAATTTCTAACATATATGACCTATTGTTTAGAAAAAACTGTTTAAAAGCTGTATGTCACATAACAATGAGTAACTAGTTCTAAAGATATTATATTAGCATTCAGGAAAATTTTATCTAACCAACTATCAACTTTTTTCTTTCCCTGGCTTATTATTTTTTTAACGAAAATTTTAAAAAACCTTTAAGGAACTTCTCTTTCATTATTCTTATTTCTGTAATTTGTTCAATAGTTTCTTTGATTTGCGTAGTTTTCTTTTCTTTGCGACTCTTGGTTATATATTATTTATTTTATCCTTGTTCTATCATGTCTTCAAAATCGTAGTTTTTGTTTGCTGTTATTTTACTGTGTAAAAATTCTCGCATCCATAAGGGTTCCATTCTAAAATTTTCTTGGTCCATCTTTCATCTCTGACTCTGACGATATGGCTTGTCAGTTCCATTTCAGCATTATAATTCTTTTAACTGCATTCTGAGCTGCCCGTGTTATTCTCTTGTAGTCTTGTTTAACTCCGTTGTTTAGATGTCCCTTCCTAATTGAATCTTGGGTCCCAGAGATATACATTTGTTTTATTTGTGTGCCATACTTTGAAATGTTTTTGGAAAATACAAAGTTGGTCATATATATGAATTCCCCTCGGCAATTTCGAATACAACATCTAAAAAACCAAAAGAATTTACAATCACTAGAGATTTTTATAATGTAAATAAATACCGGGCTCTGAGACTTTTTCTATTCCTTTTGATACTTTTTTTATTAATTTACTAAAAAATGAAATACACACTGCAAGTAATTGAGATGAAAGAATATAAAAAGGTGGACGATACCTTTATATCTCTTATAATCTACATTTCATTACATTATTAGTCATAGATCGACTACACACACTGATTTACAGCTACAATCGGTACGTCTCTGATGGAACACAATTTAGGAAGTAGTCCGCTATAACTGAACCTATCAATTTGCTGTCTTCAGTCTATAGCATTTGCCACAAAACATATTGCCTAACTATTAAATGGTGAGATCTTCCCAATCTTCTTTCTCTCGGGGAGTGAGCAGTATTCGGAGATCTGATAATCTAGATAGTTGTTCATATATTCTCGGTGCCAACGGGTTATTTGTTAGGTCTACTGATTCTAACGATGGTGCATCTTTTAAACAATCTACATCTAAATCTGCAACAAAAAATTTACGATAAAGATTATTTAAAAATGTAAATTTCTTATTATACAAAATAATTAATAAAATAAAAGTTTTTAATCTTTTCATTTGATTCGCCTCTTTTAGTCCTACTTAGTTTATTATTATAACTTGAGGGTATAGGCGCAAATGTCGCCTGTCAAAATATTTAACAAAGAAGGTCAGAACAAAAGATTGTAACAGCCACACCGCTCCGTGGCTGAATACCACCAAGTAACCATGACAGTGTCCACCGAGAGTGAACGGTGACAAGAGACAGATAGATATGTTTTGTTGTTGTAAGATGTAGGTTAAAATTATAACACATGGTTTTCTTTTTTAATAAAATCCTATAAATCAATATTCACAGTCATTACCTAACTATTTTTACTAATACCCACATCACAACTGGCACCCAACTTGGGCAAAATAGTTTAAAGTGTAGTTCGTACTGTGAAAATCGTAAAGTTTCATTGTGAACAGTAAAAAGTGTTTTTGCTCCCGCCATTGTAAGGTGATTAGTGGACATTTTCACTTAGTTTAGTGCTTCACAACAATAAATCTACTGTGTATGTGACTGCTGTGGAAACTCCGCACAGACCATCCAAAAACATCCTGTGGGAATATCAATCTTCCACTACAGATCGTTCAAAACATCCTGTGGGAATATCAATCTTCCACTACAGACCATTCAGAAATATCCTGTGGGAATATCAAGCTTCCATTCAAGGGTATTTACAAGAAATAAGCAACAGAAACTGTAAGCCTTTAATTTTTATTACTATTTTTGTGTTAAATTTGCAATCACGGCAACAAACGATAAACACAGTTATTCGCTTAGGTCGACGACGGTTTTTAGTTCAAGCGAATCAACATCAGCAGAAATGTCTTCAGTAAATTTAACAAGCGAACAGTTTCAAGCCTTATTAAATACAATAGCAAGGCCTATTTCGGACTCGGGTAGTTTAGCAAAATGCGCTTCTCGCTTCGATGGATCAAAGGGGGCTGATGTAAAAGCTTTTATAGATGCGGTCGAGATCTATAAAGAGTGCAGCCACGTGTCTGACGCGAACGCATTAAAGGGTATACCCATGCTGCTAGACGGTTTCGCCGCCACGTGGTTTCAAGGTGTTAAAAATACGGTAAACACGTGGGCCAGCGCCATTAATTTATTACGATCGACTTTTGGACCTCAAAAACCAGCCTACAGAGTGTATCGGGAACTGTTTTCGACGGAACAAGATGCTAAAACACCGTGTGACATTTTTGTATGCAAAGCGCGCGCGATAATAGCTCAGTTACCGGCAGATACATTAACCGAAGCCACTCAATTAGATATGGTATACGGTTTATTACATAGGAGAATACGTGAAAAAGTAGCACGTGATAAGATCAATACATTTAGCGAACTCTTAAAAGAAGCGAGGCAAACTGAAGAATCGTATGAAAATCCGGAAATAAATATTAAAAACGAAAACGAATCAAAACGGGTATGGTGTAGCTTTTGCAAAAATCCAGGTCACGTGAAGGATGAATGTCGAAAATTGGCCGCAGCCAGAACCAGGGAAGCAGATTCTCGAAAATCTTCGGTTGAGCCCAAACCTAATCCTCCTTTAGTAACTTCTCGTACTAGCCCCAAAACAACCTTTTCTACTTCGAATCAGATTTCGTGTTATGGATGTAAGACTCCTGGATTCATTAAGAGTAATTGTCCAAAATGCAAATCATCCAGTAAATCCTCAGCAGTATCTGAATTTATGCTTGCTGAAACAGTTAATGTCGACCAACAATTTGCCACAAACCTATCAACTAAACCCATTGTTCAGGTCACTATTGAAGGTCATGTAGGTCATTGTTATCTTGATTCGGGAGCACAGTGCAGTATTGCTGGCTCTCAGCTAAGAGATATCCTCTTGAAGGATGAGGTACCCTTTTCCACAAAAAGTGTAGACATGACCCTAGCGGATGGTAGGACTACTTCTACCACTGTTTTGGTCTTTGATTTAGTTGTTATCTTACAAAACCGCTCTCATAGCATTTCCTTAATTTCTGTGCCCACACACACAAATAGTCGTACCTTACTGGGGGCAGACTTCTTAAGAAAAGCTAACATCATTCTAGACATTCCTAATGACTCATGGTTTTATGGTGATGTCCCTAATATCCCCTACTCATTTGCTCCAGATCCGGCTCAGGTCAGCTCTCCTTGCCAGGTCAATAGCGTTACTCTTGCTCATTTAGAACTACGAGCAGATGAAGGAATTTCTCTATCCTTAGAAGAAAGATCCAATCTTAACAACATTGTTAAGGAAAATTCTGATTTATTCGTATATAATAGAGACCCTACTCCATATGCTGAACACTCCATTGTATTGGTTGATGATGTACCAATATCTGTTCCACCTTACCGTATGTCAGAGCCCAAAAGGCAATTACTGCGTCAGGAATTAGATAAACTTTTGGCTCAAGGCATAATCGAAGAGTGTGAGTCCCCATATGCTTCACCCGTGGTACTTGTGCCTAAGAAAGATGGAGGTATCAGATTAACAGTAGACTATCGACGCTTAAACGCAATAACACGTGCAGATAAGTACCCTCTGCCACGTATTGAAGATATTTTGCATGCAGCAAAGGAAACCCGATTTATGACTACCCTCGACTTAAAATACGGTTATCATCAAATCTCTGTACGAACAGCTGATCGTGACAAAACAGCCTTCGTGTGTCCATTTGGCACCTTTCGTTACACACGCATGCCCTTTGGTATGTGTAACAGTCCCGCTAGTTTCCAAAGGATGATTGATAAATTTCGTGCTGGTCTTCAAACTCTGAATATCCTAGCTTATTTAGATGATCTGATAATATTATCCCCATCCTTCTCTGATCACATAGACGATTTGAAACAAGTATTCAACCGGATGCGCCTATTTAAATTATGTCTAAATAGAGCAAAATGTTCATTCGCCTGTGAGGAAGTCCAATATCTCGGACACATCCTTTCACCTTTGGGTATCCGGCCAAGTGAAAATAAAGTATCTGCCATACTAAACATGACACCACCCCTAAATGTTACTCAACTGCTAAAATTCCTGCAAACATGCTCATGGTTCCGTAGATTCATCGAAAATTTCTCCCATGTTGCTAAACCTTTGTCGAATTTAACCAAGAAAAATGTGAAATGGACCTGGGGAGCAGAACAACAAGAGGCCTTTGAATGTCTGAAACAATTATTGTGTTCCGCCCCAATCCTACGACAAGCTGACTGCAATTTACCTTATATCCTTCGTACAGATGCTAGCAATTATGCTTTGGGGGCATGTCTTCTGCAGGGGGAGAAAGAGAACGAACGACCTGTAGAGTATGCTTCGAGACTCCTGACTCCTGCTGAACAAAACTATAGCACTACAGAACGAGAAGCTCTCGCTGTGGTTTGGGCAGTGAAGAAATTTCGAGGATACTTAGAAGGCGCTACTACAATAGTGCAAAGTGATCACCAAGCCTTAAAATGGCTAATGACCTTAAAGTCCCCTACTGGACGGTTAGCTCGATGGGCTTTAGAGCTCATGCCATATAACCTAAAAATAGAATATATCACAGGAAGAAAAAATGTAATCGCAGATACTCTATCAAGGCCTCCCATGACAGAAGTTCCCATCATAGCTGAAGTTCATCTAGTAAGAGTAGATTTTCCAACTCTTAGTGTTGCTGATGTTCGAGAAGAGCAGCTTAATGATCCAGATGTTGCCAAGATTATTAGATGTTTAGAAGATCCCTCTTCTGACACAAGCGTAGATTTCAAGAGGTGGGCAGAAAGAGGATATATCATGAACAATGGGATATTATACCGTTATACTCCTGAAGTAGATGAAGAAGAGCCCCAATTGGTAGTGGCTAGTACACGTATTCCTCACATACTGCATGAGTACCATGATTCCGCTACTGCTGGTCATTATGGAGTGGAGAAGACATATCAAAGAATAATAAAACGCTACTATTGGCCTGGAATGAAGAAAATTATCTCTGACCATGTAAGTAAATGTCTTGAGTGCCAACGCTATAAAGTCTCTAACCTCAAACCCGCTGGTCTCCTACAAACCCCTGTTCAGTCCCAGAGGTTTGAAGTGCTATCTATTGATTTATTTGGGCCTTTGCCCCTCTCTCCTCAAGGTTATACATGGATTCTGGTAGTGGAAGACACTGCTAGTCGTTGGGTAGAATTATTCCCGCTAGAATCTGCTACTGCCGCTGCCTGCGCCAAGTGTTTCATAGACAACATAATCTTACGATACGGAATCCCTCGTCGAGTCATCAGTGACAACGGTACTCAGTTCGTGAGTGCGGTAATGCAGCAAGTGGCGCATTGTTTCGGGTACCAACAGAACCTTATACCTGTATACCACCCGGAAGCTAACCCCGTCGAACGAAAGAATAGAGACATTAAAACTCAGTTAGCTATTCTAACAAATAATGACCATTCGTCTTGGTCTGAAAAGTTACCCGCTATACGGTTCGCGATGAACACTGTGAAGTGCGACTCAACCGGTTTCACGCCTGCGTACCTCACGTTCGGTCGCGAGTTACGAACTCCTGATGATGCAAATCGTGATTTTCGAAGCATCATAGCCAAGGACAACTTCGTGCCACAAATCACGCCCTATCTACTAACTTTGAGTAAAGCTCTTAGTGAAGCCCGCGAGACACATGAACAATCTCAAGATAGACGTAAGAAGTATAAAGACTGCCACCGCCGCTCTGTTTCGTTCGAAGTAGGTGATATTGTGCTAGTCGATTCGCATACACTAAGTGACGCGTCTAAGTCCATAACTTCGAAGTTCGCGCCGCGTCGTGACGGACCCTACAAGGTGACCAAAAGGCTGTCCCCTACAACCTATGAAGTTTCACACATCGACACTCCAGATGTTCCTGCTGGGAAATATCATGTCTCAGCCTTGACGCCTTTCCATGCCGATCCAGAAGATCCGTGCCCTGCTCCAGTTCAACCTCTCCGTAGAAGAGGTCGTCCAGTGAAATCCTCAGAAGCCGACCCTCCTGCTCCACTGGTCTCCTGCCAAGAGTCTTTGACCCTTGGATTAGACGATAGCGAAATGAGCCCCCATGTTGGAGATGACCTTGCTCATATCGAAGCTGAACCTGCACCTGACCATATTGCCAGACGTAGACAACCCCGACCAAAACGTTGTCATTGCTGTCCTGTAGAGCTCTATTCCTGCTTAGACTCTGTTGCCCCACCCGCGAGTCGCCAGGGTGGTGCAAAGGGGGAGGATGTAACAGCCACACCGCTCCGTGGCTGAATACCACCAAGTAACCATGACAGTGTCCACCGAGAGTGAACGGTGACAAGAGACAGATAGATATGTTTTGTTGTTGTAAGATGTAGGTTAAAATTATAACACATGGTTTTCTTTTTTAATAAAATCCTATAAATCAATATTCACAGTCATTACCTAACTATTTTTACTAATACCCACATCACAAGATTACGTTATTACCGAGGGCCGAAAGTCCCTTAGAACAACCAAAAAGTTTCATTTGAATAAGATATTTGAAATTAAAAGTCACACTAAAGTTTCTCTTTTCTTTTCACCCCTGTAACTTATTAAAATAAACATTATAAACATTTTTAGGGACTTTCAGCCCTCGGTAATAAAGTAGTCTTTCTTTCTGCGTTAAAATTTTTCAAATATACTAATTAGTTTTCTGAAGATTCGAAAAAAATGAACACATTTAAATACGTTGAGCATTTTGACAAGTGACATTTTGCGTCTATGCCCTTAACACAGTATAAAGAGGTTATAGAGTTGGAACCTCTTTATACTGTGCCCTTAACTGAATGAGCGTATGTCTAAAGGTGAAAACTTTTTAAAAATCAAATATATCAAGGGAGTTCCACAATTATATTATCTCAAGAAAGTAAGTGGTAACGAGAAAATATTTCTGGAAACTTTTAGTCTTTACTATCAAAATGTCCAGGGTCTTCAAAAAAGTTTTTCACGGTTCTTTGTAATTCTGTTGTAAACAACTATCATGGGATAATGTTTACTGAAACGAATCTTAAGGCTGATAAACCTAATGAACTCTTGTAAATTACAAGGTTTTTAGGCAAGATCACTCATTTAAATCAAGTGATAAGAATGTGAGGCTGACATGTCTGCATTCCCAATCCCGAATGAATATGTTACGTCACAGGCAGTGCACAACATCAGTTTTAGTAGATGGTGTGGAATCACAGGCTTTCAATATTAAAAGAGGAGTACGGCAGCGATGTCTCTTGTCACCCCTGCTTTTTAACGTTTACTCCGAAAGAATTTTCAGAAAAGCACTTTCTGAAAAACAAGAAGGAATACTTGTGAACGACGAAGTCATCAATAATTTGCGATATGCGGACGATACAGTACTCCTAGCTTCTAGTCAAGAAGATCTGCAAACACTACTTTAGATAAATGAAGGCTGAAGAAGAAGAAGAAGAAGAATATAGGTATATATAAATTTTTCTACTCTGAGATCTATGTACAAATAAAGTATTTTGAATATGTATTGTAAAATAATAGGAAAAATATTTTCTGAATGACGAAAATTATACAGAATTCAAAAATTTATTGTTTTTATGGTCTCCAAAATATTTATTTTCTATAGGAATCTATTAAACAAACCTTTTCTTAATATTTATAGTAAGCATATTCTGCACAAAATAATTTTGTTTTATAAAAAAGAATACTTACCAACTATACTATTATTGCTGGCATTAAGATGCCGTAATTTGGGAATTTTGAAAATACAATCGGGCAATTCTATAAAGGTGTTGTGCGAAATATCCAATCTCTCAAGAGCACCTAAGCTGACGCATTCATCGGGCAACTTTGACACTTGATTATGAGATAAGTTGAGCTCTGTGATTTGGTTGAATTTGGCGGCAAACTTTGGCGGTATTTTTGTAATGACATTGTCACTAAGATCACAGGTTTTGAGCTCGGTGTGCCTCATCAGGTGGTACACTGCATCAGGAACTTGCATTAACTGGCAATCGGACAAATCTGAAAAAATAAAAAAACAGTAACTAAAACTGATTTTATTTTTCTAGCAAAATAGTTATACTTAATTGGGACTTTTTAATACAATCTAGTGATACATTTGTATAGTGTTGAATATGACAGATCAACTAAATAGTAACTGTTTTAACATAACAAGTTTTAACAAGGGAAATATAGGGCGACCAATCACAGGCATTTGAAACGCATGTTGGGCTGCGACAGGGAGATGCGCTGGCGTGTCTTCTTTTAAACATAGCTCTGGAAAAGGCAGTCAGGGATGCCCAAATAGACAACAGAGGAAACATTTTTAATAAATCATTTTTCAAATTTTGGCATATGCAAATGATGTTGACCTAGTTGCCCACACAACACGCAAGCTAGAAGAAATATATACCACCTTGTCAAATGCTTCAAAAAATATGGGCCTGCAAGTAAATGAGGAGAAAACTAAGATAATTGCATCAACACCCAACAATAGAGCCAGAAACATAGGCCACCATAAAACCATATTTTTCGATTTTATATCTATTTTTGATACTTTAAAATAACTTGTGATTTTTTCCACATTTTATAGGTCTCAGCGACTTTTTTTATAACTATTTTGTTTATGTACTTTTGTCACATTTTATTGTTGGTTAGTCCGAAAGGCACTATAACAAACGTCCCTAACCTTATTCCAGGTTCCTATCTCAATTCCTTCATACTTCTGGAATTTTGACAGGTGACATTTTCTATGTTTACTAATTTGCACTTTGTTCATAATTTTGATTAATAGTTATAAATAATCAACTTTACCGTACAGATTCTTAGTTTAAGACTAATTGGCATAATTATCTTCCTGATTCCCGGATCAGGAGATAGTTATCGATTTCTTTCAGATTCTTAGTATAAGTACTTGGCATATCTGCTTTAATAATTTAATTATAATTATTATTGCAATAAATATTCTTTTATTGTGTTTTATTAAAGGCATTTTAATCCTAGCTAAGTGCCCATAGCCCGTGTCTATGGCCACTGACCGAGAACCCTACCCTCTTAGGTCCCAAACAGCGATGGATAGAGCGAGTAACGAGCCTTCTTTCTCTCCTGAGGGAAATGAGAGTCTTCTCCGTTACCGACAGTAAGTTGGATTAAATCAATCAATTTTTGTCCCCGGAATGCCTGATTTAATTTATGACATACCGTTTTGAAACACCCTATATATTCATTTACATATCCATATTCTTGTACGTATATTCATAAACACAGTTGGTATTAAAGAATCCACCGGTTATTACACAACTTCCGCTACTTCTGCTGCCAGAATTAAGAACAATTTTAGCATTTTAAATGAACCCTCGCAATGCAATATGTTCCTCTGTTTCAAAAGATCTCCAGTGCTTTACTTCTTGCACGTAATTATAACGTTAAAAGTAGGAAACAAATCGTTGGTATTCCTCATTAACCATATGGAGGTAACTTTCTCATCGCTTTAATTAGTTACATCAGTTAATTCAAAAGTATTATAGTTTTGTGAAGTAAGAATTTATTATTACATAAGATAACTATAAGAATTAATTCGAGGCTTTGCGAAAATATGTTTTATTTATGAATAAAAAAAAATAATAAATCGATTGGGATACTCGAAAGATAGTTTCGTGGAAAAATGCGGTAAAATAAATGCATCATGAGGAAAACCAGACCTATGTATGACTCATGTGTCATGCAGCAAATATTGGCAACTGGTTCTTTACCTGTAGTAAAAGATCTTACACTGGAAAAAGTGTCAAGACATTCCTAAAAAACAACAAAGCCCAAGGAAACGACATTATATTTGCGGAATATTTGAAAAATGGATAAGAAACTTAGGTACATGTTTTTTATAAGCCGATTTGCCAAATCTGGAAAGAGGAGCAAATACCAACCCCCTGAAAGGAGAGTGTTATATACAAAAAGGGCGTAATTTAAAAACTCGAAAAGAAACTTAGGTACATGTTTTTTATAAGCCGATTTGCCAAATCTGGAAAGAGGAGCAAATACCAACCCCCTGAAAAGAAAGTGTCATATACAAAAAGGGCGTATTTTAAAAACTCGAATTTTAAAGTAAAACATCTGTTACATACAAGTAGTATATTTAATTAAAATTAAATTTAAAAATTCAAATGCATTAGAAATGGGCTGATCATGTCAAGAATCAAGATCAGTTTGTTGTAAATCTGGTCTAGGAAGAAAACACGAAAGGAAATCGATAGCGAGGAGCCACCCCGGCTGCTTGTAGATCTTAATAAAAGAGAATAATAAAAGTTTTCTATCAAGTTCGTGTTCAATATAAAGAATATCGCAGAGTTGGTGTGAGACAAGGAATAAGCACAAGAGAAAAAAGGCTAGAACTTTAATTAGGCTAGGAATTTAATAATAAATTATGGTTCACATGTTTTGGTAGCTACATAAAATATTTTGTGACAAACGGCTAGCTATAATGTGTAACATATCTAGTATCAACAATACTTTATTTAGCCTGTACACCAAATATGTCAAGACAGCGACATAAGATACAAACACCAGTTACGTTATAGAGTCGACTCCCTACAAAAAAAAAACATTGTGTCTTAATATAAAATGCATTGAAATTTCAATGATATTACGGGATAAATCCAGAATCATATAGTATACTATTTTCATGTGTTGCTATATTGTTTTAACACGATACTAGTTACTCCGAAAGCTATCTTCTTCTTCATATGTCGTCTCCTTCATCGGAGGTTAGCGTTTATGGTGGCAAACATTTCTCTGTCTTCAGCTGTACGCATAATTTCTTCTAAGCCTGGTCTTAATGATCAAATAGAAAGCATGGAAAGATATTATTTATATTTCTATTTATATTTCTAAACTAACCCTATAGTTTCACTATATGAAACTCTTGATGGAAGCAGTCCCATAAACGTTATAAGAATATACAACATTATTATACGTATTTTGACAGTTATTATTGCTTCTTGGATATAGAAACCAAAATTACAAATACGAATTATATTAGTCTTAAAAAAAGGCAAGTTTCCAAAGATAAGTACTATTACATAAGTAATAAGAAATACAAAGAGAAATACATCAGCCTCATAAAAATGACGTTGCAGGGTTCAAAAGCCGCAGTCGGAGTAGATGGAGAACTGACTCCCCTGTTTAACATCAACATGGGAGTAAGACAGGGAGATGCCCTATCAACCATGCCATTCAACCTAATTCTTGAGGCAGTCATCAGAAATCTAATATAACCGGCCATATAAACACCAAATCAAAACAAATTACTGCATATGCAGACGATGTAGCCATCATTAGTAGGAATAAGCCACAACTAATGGAAGTGTTCAAACAAATTGATCCTGAAGCAAGAAAAATAGGTCTCAGAATAAACGAAGCAAAAACGAAGTATATGACAGTCAAAAGAATAACTGACAATGAAAATAATATCACAATAGACAACTATACTATTGAACGAGTGGATGCCTTTACATATCTCGGCACAGAAATCAATCAGAAGAACTCCGTAAGTAGAGAAATTAATGCCCGTATTTCCAGCGGGAATCGTACATACTATGCTAATAAAAGATTTATGACATCGAAATTATTAGACAAAAGATCCAAAATGACTATCTACAGAACACTGATTAGACCCGTAGTAACCTATGGATGTGAAACTTGGGTAATGACGAAAAAAGATGAAGCCCAACTCAGGACATTCGAGAGAGAAATACTGAGGAAAGTATATGAAAGTTAACCTTAATGAAATCGATATTTTTTATGTTTATGAAATTTGATAGTATAGCAAGAAAGCTGAAGCCACCCCTGTCAGAAATAAAATTAAATCGCAGGAATATAAAAGTAGTGCAAGCGTCTTAATCGTTAGTATTTTTACCTTCCATTTCCTACCTAAGCTTTCAGTTTCTGTAGCAGTTTCACATCTATGAATCACTCGTATTACAGCGGAAGCCATGTTGTCGACTAACAAACGAATGAGGACAAACAATTGGATTTACTTTTATTTTAAAGATTAGAGATATCTGATGTGCTCTACCTAATGTATTATCTATCGCTGCGCAACTTTGAACACGCGAAATACGATCGTACCCGTACGGGAATGAGAATCTGAACCGAGCGATTTGTATTGCGAATGCGTTTGTTTAAAATATTCCGCAATTCAGGGGCGTACTTCAGCAAAGTAATAAGGTTCACTAGTGATTTATAAATTAATATGATATATGCATTTATTATAGTTACTCTTTTTTATTGGGCCAACAATTTCATTTACTCTCATATAATTTCTATTCACTCCTTACAGTAAATTTTCAACGTTTTAGCTTTTTTGTAGTACTTCTGTGTTTGTACTTTTTTATTACTTCTACATACTGAATGTTGCCTTTTATCATTGGTATTCTGACATTATTTATTTAAAGCACTTCGAATGGCTGTTAGTTCCTTATGAATCTTTCGGATAATTAAAGTAATATTGAGCAGCTGCTCTGTTGAAAAATTCACAATATTTTTTCAATATATTGTTAATGCGACTCTCAAGAGAACATGCTTTGGCTTAAGCCTCCAATTAAGCTTGGATTCAAGATAACAGTAAATTCTACACCTTCAAAGACAGTAATTTTTTAAAAGCTCTCTATTAGCTAAAAGTACACGCCTTATATTGTCATTCGCAGGTGCGCCTTATTATAAATATTCACAGGACAAAATTCTATATTATTTCAGACAGCTAAGCACATTAATTGAATCTGCTAATTATAAGTAATTATTGTTTGGAACTGCAACCACCTCTTAAAAAACTGACAAAACAACAAACTATAATATATAAATGAGCAAGCTAATAAAAATGGGCATAATAGAAAATTGGCAAACCTAGGACCAAACTTAACTTTCTTAGACCCGATTAGATCGCTGAATGAAAAACGACACGATTTGAAGAAAAGTTTGTAGGATTCTAAAAAAAAACTTAATATATATACTTTATTAAAGTTCTAGTT